TGCTCTTTAAGGCATTTTAGAAGAAAAGATTATACATTTCAAACTTCCCGCCGCGGAGATCTAATCTTGCTCCAAAACGCTGCGCAAATTCCTTCCCAGTTGACCAAATACTCATTTTTTTGGTACAAAGTTCTTTGAAATCCATTGTCACCGAAAGATAGCAGCACCTCCTGGGATGTCGCGACGAATGTTTTACCCATTGTCAGATATCCCGGAATCTAAGTTTTTTTCCACATCAGACGCGAAGAGCTCGCATTGTTATGAAAATCAAAGGATCCGCAAGCAATTTCGTAGCCATCGTGCGTAGAGGCCAAGTGGAACGTGTGTTTGGCGCATTGAAAGTTTGATTCGGCGCGCTGCCAGGCAATTCCCAGCACATTTCTGCAGTCTACGTGACATCAAACGCCAAAACGAGCGTAAGCACCAAGCGTGGAATTCGTAAGGAAAACGTATATTTTCGTCCAGACGGAGGTAACCATGACAATCTCTTCAATAGTCATTCTTTTGGGAGATACCTGGCTAGGGAAAGCCCCGCTAGCCGACGTTGGTCGGCGCAGGATCTCGTCATCCAGCGAGACAAGATCATCGCCACCTCCCAAGGAAAAAGCATTCCATACCCTTATGGACTTTAGGAGATGACACGCCCGGAATCAATAACAATCAATCACCGCCACGGAATGAATATTTTTCTCCTCACATTCTTTTGTCTCCTTATTTAATGAACGTTCCTCTCATATACGCCATTGCCACTTCTCAAAATTGTAAATATTTTAAAACTAACTTGCAGAACATGAAGGTATGATATTGTTACGTATAGTCAGTATTACTTCTTAAATAGAATGTCCTACACTTATTTTGCAAATAATTTTGAGATCCACCGTGACACCCACTAGTGCACTCCGGACATCCGAAAGACGTATCCGAAATTGGTATGCGACAGTCTAATCGGGCACCTTCAGGCTAGCCTCGCAGACGAGCCTGGATCGCGTCCGGCGAAAATAATGTCACCAATGCATTGTTCCCCTTTATATGAACAATGAAGAAGGTAGCAATGGCAACACCTTGGCATTTTGCACAAGCATTATTTAAAACTTCAATAATTACGATACGATCGTAAGGAGTTCCTATTTGCAGTTTGCAACTTTCAAACCCTCGTTAATTTAAAGACATTTTGAAACTGATTAAGAATGTTCTCGTTATCATTTAAGTAATATAAAATCACTGCGACTTTTGCTTAGATTGTACAAATTCCAAATAATGTAAAACTCACATCAAATGTTAAAATTGAAACGTTCGTTAATTACGTAACGCTTGTGGTCCCCTCCCAATTTACAAAACGTAAGAATAATTTACATTGCAGTAAAACAATTTGTATTAATTTTATTTATTGTATATTAAAAGTTACCATAATTAAAGTGAGAACCAGTTGGCGATCGTGACTCCACGATAACATTGGGGACACATTTTTGAGTGAAATGATTTTTGAGAGGGTTTTTTTTGGGGGGGGGAGGAAGGGCGCAATTTTCTTGAAGGCATTACGAAGGTCGCAGAATGGCGACCGAAACGTCGGCACCTTCGCCATGGAACGGCCTCACCCGGGCAGCCAAGTAAAGAGTAAATTTTTTCTTACTAGCTGTATATACGCCGTCGTGGATGCTTGCGCGAGACCAGAGTCTACTCCACTAATTTAATTAGATTCTAGAATGTAGATCAATTTTGAATATTTTCTTAGTAGTCTAATAGTTTCAATCAATATGATATTGATGAAAAAATATATTTATTTATTGTGACATAACATATATCATGACTTTTTACTTTAATTCTTGGATAGTTTGATGTTTTAGAATAAGACTGAATAAAATAAATTATTTCAGAAAAGGTTGAAAAGTTTAAAAAATAAATATCAGCGTTACGTAACACTAAACTAACACCCCCCAAATAACTCAGCCTGAAACCCTCTCTCGTTTTTAGCGTTACTTTATTTATAAACGACCGTTGTCCAAATGCATTTTTGTGATGTTTCATTATTGTTGTTAACAGCGCTACTGCCTTCGGAGGAAATACAACTGCTTGGGAACTAGGACCATCAATTCTTTATGAAATATTTTACCTCAATAGAGCAAGAATCCCAGCCCGCAATGAGCATCATTGTTTGCGAGAATTGTGTGCGTGGTTAGACTAGGCTAGACCTATTTCAATTAAGTTACTAAAGTTGCTTATGTTTCATTACATTTTAAGGTTTTGAATCCTAGCTAGTAAGTTACATTTCCGCCATTTAATGGAGCTGCAGCCCTATTTTTTGGGCACCGGCCCCCACTGAGAGGCTGCATTTCAACTTCAGTAAGAAATGCAGTGAACCCAATTATCATACACGAAGCCAAAGTTAGAGCGGTTGTCAAACATGAAACATTACTCCCTGCCGGTTTACACCGCCTGCGATGGTTCAGGAGTATTGCCACCAGCAGTGTTTCTAACCCGATAGCGGTTGCTTTTGGCCAGTAGCTAAATCGAAATCAGCGGTTGTCTGCAGCAGACTTTAGCGTCTGGCTCCTTGGTTCGGCGCTCAGTGGTTTCTCCGATCAAAACTAGGCGAACGCCGAGCAATAACTTAATCAGACCATCGACCACGTGCGATTTTTCTCATCCTTGTCCCCTCCTCACTCTTTACACACGCGCTGTACTACCGCACATGTTGATATTATTCGCGTACGTTTTCTTGAGCCCTCGCTGCGCTAGTTGCGAGAGGAGTGGGGAGTTGGGTTTTTTGCACATAGGAAATTTTACGTCCATTTGTTCATCTTTCGAAGCAAAATAGTTTCGATTACACGGGAGCGAACATTTCTGTTTATCAGATTTTGCCTACAACGCTTGTTGTTTACAGTTATTCTTAATTCAACTAATGTTGGCAAAGGAGTGGGGGTAGGAATTCCGGAGCTCAAGAAAACGTGCGTGGATAATAGCGTGTCCCGGCTGGGAGGTGCCGCGCAGGCGATCTGGCGGGGGGCATCCCCGTAGGGCGACTTATAGGGCGGCGCCGGACCTTAGGTTGTTGCTGAAGCGGAACCACAGTACTTACACTACACTGTGGAAGACCTTGCTATTTCCCATTACAATACATACACAACACTTACGGAACTAGTGAGCACAATCGTCACGCGCCCTGAAATCAAATGACAACCTGGGCGGATACTGAAATTGATATTGAAAGACTGCACACGATTGTTTCATTGACGCGCGTCGTAGAATAACACTATCTTAAGGCGCGTCCACACATTCGACATTCGCCGAGCAGCGAGCTACTGCTATCCTAATCCCGAACAGCGAATGTTCGCTTCCTTTGATGTGTCCTAAAGACAGACATGCGGTGGGTAGGGTGAGCACCGAATGTTCGTCACTCGGCAAATAGCAAGAAACACATCCACACTACTTGGGATTCGGCGAGTGGATTCTCACTACTCGCCGAATAACGGTGGAGCCCCCTTTATGCAAAACGGCACACGAGCGCTTTGGCCTTTAGCGTTGGGCTAAAAATGTTAATCTACGACGCGCGTCGACGCTATGCTGGTGAGACGCAGGCTTTATAGTACATATCTTTCATTTCTTACACATCCCCTTTACCTGACAACAAGGATCTTTGGTAACTATGCATGGAGGCCCGTTTCATTTTATTGGAGGCTTTATCACTGATAAAGTTGGGAAACTAAAAGTAATAACTTGGCATCGAAAATTAGCGTTAAATGAATGGCTCAAGGGGAAATTCCCAATCTAAACGTTTTCGCGTGTTCTCTAGAAATTCAGACCACTGAAATAGTATTTAAAGTAATATTGGGAGAGCAAAGTAAATCGAAAATCACATCCGGTCCGAAAAAAATTGGTTGTTGACTAGTGAATTGTACGTTCTCGCCTACTATGTACTTACGTAGTACTACAGAGAAAATCCTGTAGCATTGCGGCGCAGTGACGATTTTCTCCTCAGAAAAGCTCTTATCGTGGGGCTCTGATATCGAAGTTACAAATATTGCACGATGTGCTGTTGTAGCACTAGTTTCATCAAGTGCAGCAATTTACCTACAATACAATTATACATTATTGTTAGAACAAATAATGAAACAGATGATGAAATGAATATGTGCTACACATGGATTTTCAGACGCAAGGGAGGCCTCCCCAAAAAGTGGATTAACAAATATATATATATACACTTCCCTCTTTATTGTAAAAATATGGAAAGTTTAGATTCAAGGATTTTTCTAGTAAATTCAGATATTCAAAATAATCACAATGTGTTTCACAGCATGGTACGGCCTGATATCACGCATAGTTACATCGTTCTCCCCCCTCCCACCCCCAGTTTCAGGGCAGCCAGGTAGTGCCGAGATCGACAGTATGGGGAGTCAAGTGTGGATCACCCGAGTAATGAAAATATGGCCGGCAAGCATATTAAAGGTTTTAATTGTGGCCCTTGAGACCTTGCAAGTTGGACACCACAGTTCTAATAAATCAGTATTGTGTTTTCGTTTAGTTTGATGTTAACTAGAATTTATGCAAAAATGCTATTTTCAAGACAATTCAAGAATTTTAGGAACCTATTTTTACCATTTCAAGGTCAATTTCTGATGCCTAATATGGTTTACGTTTTGAGACCCCCAAATATTCAGTGTTTACTCTTCATTAAGAAACTCCTAAAATACCCCAATTTGAGATGTCATTGGTACTGCAAGTTAAAAGTTGCCTATCAAAGCAATAAATGGTTTGACTAAATGGCATGCAACCGGTTCTAGCAATTACTGCAAGTCTTAGATTGACTGATTTTTAATATGCCTTTACCAAATGCTCTTCAGGAAATCATTTCCAGTGCATGATTAAAAGGCTAGTCAAATGGAGTATTAAAAGCATTACTGTGTTCTAAAATGACAGAAAAGATTTTTCTGAATATTTTGTTATGTTTTTTTTGTTAAATATTCTGCATATATTTTGTTATATATTTCAACAAGTACTTTCTCCAATAAAAAATAGAACGTTATGCATAGAGCTTTAGAGAGAAATTATATTTCCAAAAATCGGTGGAAAAAATATAATATGCAAATATTCATGACACTCAAACATGTTCACATTTATCATCCAAACATTAGAAGAGTGCGTTTTCAGGTCAATTTGGAACTTCGTTCTTCATTTATTAACTGTACCATTTTTATATACAAAAGGAAGTTGGTAGTAGCATCTCCAATTCTTTTTATACAATGGAATGGAACCAAATGGTTCTAGTGGGATTTGCTGGATAGAGAAATGGAAGAAATAAGAGAATACATTCCCAATGAATAAAAGAAATTATAAAACATATATAGAAGTATCAGATTCCACAGAAAAATTTGGTAACTATAACATTAAATATACAGAAACAGAAGTCTGATATGCTGAAAACTTAACAAAAATTATCTCTTCTGATGGCACTACTATTTTTAGAATTTCAGATCTCTTTGTTGAGAAATGTAAACTTACATTATTAGACAATTAGATCCCCATATAAAAAAGATCTAATTGTCCTCATACATATTTAAGTCCACCTCCAGATAAAATAATAATTTTCCTTCTTTGGCACAACAAAATCTGAAATACTGCGTCACAACACTATTTTAGGATCAATTATATTTCTCAGTACTAAACATAGGGAACATTAGTAGACATTATCTTTCCATTTCAGAAAAAAATACCATACATTCTTTCAGTAAAAAAACTAAATAATGAACATAGAATGTTCATTACCTCATCATCCTAAGAGAAAATCCAAGGCATATTGTGGTATTTTCCAAGGTATATTATCCAACAATTATAAAAAATCAGTTCAACACCTCAGAAGTAAAACATAACTATTGCAAGGTAAAATAAAAATAATATTAATAATATTTTACTTACTTGAGTAATAACAAGACAAATCAGGTAAGTTTGTAATTATAGGATTTTTACATCAAAGAAGGATTTTTGAATAAAAACCGAAGTGTATAAGTATATATGCCAAATAGAAGTGTATTAAATGGCTCTTCTCAGAAAAATTATATACATTTACACATAAACCAGGTAACCACTCGAGGAGTGAACAGAACTACAGCAAAATACCCAGCTCACAGGGCAGCAGCCAGCAAGGACCGCCCATTCAAAAATGAGGCACCGATATATAAATATATTTTTGTATACCCCTGAACAGGACCACAACGGCCCATGATCACATGTTGGGAGGAGGCGCATACACTCAAATGAGTGGCCCTGACAAACTGAACACAATACAAGTTACAGTATCACATTTTAACTTCACGTAAAAAAGCAAAAGTCAGAGTTTGGCTGCAGAGTGGAATCAGTCTTAGCTCAAAGCATCTGCCTGTCTTTGTGCAAGAACCAGTAAGAGATGCAAGGCAGGTAGATGCAACTAGGGAACAATCCCCAAATATCTCCCAGTTGGAAATCAAGCAGGATCTGTAAGCTGTTGGCTGCAAAAGATCTTCAATCAGTCTCCTTGAATGCACCTTCTCGATCCTTGGCGATGTTTTGATTTGCTTTGTCATTTTCAAATTCGACAAAGTCATCGAAGAGACTTGGCCAAGCCTCAGTATCATCATAAGAGCTGAGGTCATCACCCACTGCCTCCGCAAAGTTAAGGAACATGTTCCAGGTGTCACGGGGTATCCCACGTACATGGGGATGACCTTCCAAAAACCGTAACCATCGCCCCAAGATTGGCGGCTCCCGCACAGAGAAGACCAACCGCCACAAACATGCTGCCATGTCAGCAGGCAGAGCACGTTGGCCAGCATCAGCATCAAGCCCAAAGCGAAATGTAAAGCGATACAGGTCCTTAAAGAGATCAGGGTCACGCGCTGTTTCGGCTGCCAGTTCTGGGAGTCGTGATTGTAGTGATCGAATGGAGTCAACTCGCAAAGCACGCAAGCCACCAACAAATTCTTCACGGGAGAAGCGGCACATTCTTGCTGCATCCAAACGCCATGCCAACACCAGGACCTGAAAAAAAGTTGAAATTAATATGGCAAAAATTATCAATTTTTAATTTATTGGTTTTCTTCCGAACCAACACTGTTTAAAAGTTGTTGGGGTACTACTAAGAACAAGGATGAATATTCCCTGCTGCCATCTCTCGCCGCCCAAGTTCATTTTTGGGTATTTTCTTATTTTTTCGTTTTCCTCATAGTAGATCAGAAATATTATTTTAAAAATATTCAAGAACAGTAAAAAAAATGTAATAAATGTAAATTTTCTTTGAAAAATTTGGAATCTTTTTAGAAAAATGGAATTTAAACACTACAAAAAAAACTTGAAATTTGAAGCTCATTTTCACAGAAAATTGTTTTTGAAAAACTTTTATTAGACGCCATTTGAAGCACCGTAACTCACAAATGGGCAATGGTGTTTACAAATTGCTGGAACAATGCATTATCACACTGAGAAACCTTTCAAAAAAATTACATATGTAATTTTCGAAAAAACAAAAAAGTACCTCAAAATGAACATACATCATATTAAAAATTAAATTAAATTAAATTAGCGTTTCTAAAATTGCAGAAATTTGAACTCATTTTCACAGATAACTGTTGAGTTTTCAAGAAACATTGTATGACATTTTTTAAAGCACATGTACTCATAAATATAATAATGTGAACAAATTGCGGCTAATATAGGGGCAATTAAGGACGTGAAAGTAAAATAAATTAATACATTTTATAATTTTCGAAAAAACAAAATATAGCCATCTTATAGTATATTTAGCTCTATCCCTACCAAAAGGGTATAAAAAAATTGGAAACCGCTTTTGAGAATCATGTTTTTGTTATTATTTTATATAGCATAAATTGCACGAAATATTGCGCGTAAACAACTAAGTTTCAAAAAATGTACAGGACCTTAATAAAAGAACTCACTATGAAGAACAAGTTTTATTTGAAAGAAAAATCTCTACCTTCAATTTTGTACACACACACAGACTGGCGGGCAGAGAGAAACACACACACACAGCACACACACACACCACACGGCGCGGTCGCGCGGAGCGGGCGGGCGTTTTGAAAAATACCAATTTTTTGGTATCAGGGTAACCCAAAACGTGTATTTCCGTTGAAATCTCGAAATAAATTTTCCGCAGCATGACATAACATTTCCTGTACTACATCAATTACTCCGTATATACGTATGTATACGGGAAAGTAAAAATACTATCAAGGCCGGACAGACGGACAGACCAACCGACAAACGGATAACAAATAGTAACTAGATGTATCCCCTCTTTCGACCGACAGACGAACGACCAGCCAGACCCACAAAACATGGATTCTGACAGCAAATACTGACAAAGGAAGCAAAATATTACTGCTAGCAAGAATATTTATCCACTTTTTCGACATCAGTGCTCCGCAATACAATTTTTACAATACATTGCAATAAGCAAAACGAATATTGCTTAATTTCCTGACAATACCGATTAGTAACGAGTTGTTCCAAGTCAAAACGTCCTGTTTTGTTCCGACAGCGAGTTAAGGAAAAATTTAGTGCCGATATCCAAGAATATAACTTTACAAAGATTCACAGAAACCAGTTGGAACCAACCCATACCAGGAAAATTCACCCGCGGAAGCGCGCAGCACAGTTACGGCCCGCGTGCTGACGTCACGCATTGCTTCGCATCCCCACAACCGCAGACGCTGCATTTGAATTGTAATGCCGGACAGGCGACGGAGACGCATGCGAACAGCCACTAAACCCAACGTAGTGTGTGCCCGCCACGGCCATCTCTGACATCACCTTGCGATCAGCCAGAGGAGGGTCAGCAGCCTTCTATAGTTACAATCATGGTCGGAAACAATTCCACAAATCGCAGCTTATCTTTTGCGATGGACGGCAGTGAATTGAATTTTCACTTAAACCGTTATGATGATGACACTTCAACCTTTCAGGGGGGGGGGATATTTGTTCCATTTTGGATGAAAGCTGAGGAATGTATGATCATAAAGTTTGCCAATTTTTTTCTTTTCAGTCTGTGGGTGCCCCGGTTTTTCAGTTTAATCCGAACTGGGGTTACTAGTAACCCCACAGGAAAATTAAACATTAATTATTAGCAAATGATGCATTGGCTGCATCGAGCAATTGTGAATTCTTAGTTGATGTCTATTTTTGTCTGAGCAGTTCATCTCGCTAGTTAATTGTCCTTTCCTGGTTCGAGAGAAGTTGTATGAGAGTAATTCTAGGGAGGTGCCTGATCTGTTGTTACTGTTAAAGGGGTGAATTTTTGGGCGACAATGGTGTGAATAATTAGTGTTCGCGACGGCAACTGATGCAAATGCAAGAACAATGCAAATAATGGCAGAGCAAGACCATCAAAAGCATGAAAATATCAGTAAATTCTTTAGACTGGGATTTTGATAATATTTTTAGGAATGATTGGATGATGTCAGAGTTTGATGCAGATTGCATCGGCTCTGATGACGAAGATTACGTTGTTGAAGTATCTGAATATGAAAATGAAATATCAGATGAGGGGAATGAAAGAGAAGAACACTTAGTTGACAATACAGATTGTGTAAGGAAAGGAAGAAACAGTTACATCTGACAGAATAAAAATCCGCCGTTCTCTCATACACAGCAAAGACATATTTGTGCATGTTCCAGGCCCAAAGGAATCAGGAAAAAGGTGAATAAAGAAAGTGAATCAGGAGAAAAGCGAAGCTTAAAATCTCTTGTTCAGTTATATCATCAATTGCTCATTTTACTAACAAGGAATTAGAGAAGAGGTGTGCACGTTATCAATCGCGCCACTTCTCTTGAACGATGACCTTGCTTCCCCCTCTCTGGCACAATAGACAATGGAAGGCAAAAGCTCGCAGAGAGCACTGATGACAACATACCGAACACATTTTCACTGGCGGGAAATATAAACTATTTTCTGTTGAACTTCTATTCGTGATTTTCTCCAAAAAAAAGTCCGTTTTTTTTTCGAGTAGCCTTACTTAACTTTCTTTGTACTATATGTATTACTCCGTATATACGTACTATACAAGGAAGTAAAAGGGGAGTGTCGGAAGTCACTTCAAAATCGTTCATTCAGGGATTGAAAAGGATTTTCCACTGAATTCTGCTTTAAGGAAAGAAAAGGTAATGCAGCTACAATCTCAATTTCAACGTTCAACAATAAAATTCTTTAAATCATTAACCAAGAATAAAACAGCAAATGAGGCGTCATTCCGAGTTTCAAAACTTATTCCACAGAATAAAAAAACGAAAATGAATTCGTAAAAGCTGCATGATAGAAGCTACAGATGCAACTGATGGATCTCCTGGCAGCAATGGTAGGTGTAGAAAACGGATTCATAAAATAATATACATAAAACTGACCTATTTATGCTCACACTAGTTTTGCTTTGTACCAATGAATCTAAGAAATTTAAGTATTTGACGCCATGCGTATCCATAGCAACAACGCAAACAAAATTACTTGTATTATGGGATCCCTAAACGTGCATTTACGTTGAAATCAATAAAATTTCCTTTTCCACAGTACGACGTAACATTCTTTGTGGTATGTATATCATTCCGTATAAGCAATACGTATACGTTTAATGGAGGGCAACGAACAGAAAGTATAGGAAATGGAGGCGCCAATGGAAGACACCAGTAAATATATTCTAGAAACACGGACGTGTTCTAAAATTCAAGTAGTTTCAGAAAATGTCATCATTTTTAATGTTTGAGTAAGAAATGAGCCCTGTAGAAACATTAAATTAAAAGTATCGTATTTTCGAATTCTCAATGAATTCAAAATAATAGTTATATTCAATATGCCATATCTTCTAAACTCATCAAGTTACAGTGCTGAAATTTGCACACGAGACAGTATGTAAACTACTCTTTAATTTGAGTTTTAAATGTAGATTCCCAGTTAATAAGACTGTCGCGCTGCGCAACACGGGATCTAAGTTAGATCTGCAAAGAAAAACCCGAAGAAAACTCGTAGCAATGCAGGAGATACAGATTCGACATCTGGCGCGACTGGTGATGCCAGCGCATGCCAGTCGATCAAGGGGTGATTTTGGGATCAAGGGGGGTGATTTGCCAGTCAGCGTTATTGCGTAACAAGACCGCTCCCTTACTTTACCACTCGAAATTTAAAATGTGTCTTCCTGTTGCAGCCGCCCCGGGGAGAAATATAACTCGTGTGAGATCACGGAATGAGTTACTTCTAATTGAAATTAACCGCTGTAAGTTGTTTCTGCTGCCTGGAAAGAGGAATTGTTTGTTGGAAGGAGGGGGGGGGGCTGACCAAGGCCTCCGGTGGCCTCCGCGCCACCCACCTTGAACTCGTCGGGCGACAGCCCCAGGTCGGCGCACAGTCGCTCGATACCGTCGGCCAGCATGGCGTCCTCGGCGGAGTCGCGGTACGCCTCGAACAGCGCGCAGATCTTCGCCTCGGAGGGCGGCGGGTCGCGCACCAGGCGCGGGTAGAAGACGCGCGGCCGCGGCGTGGCGGGCGCCTCCGCGGAGGCGGCC